CTGTTGAGAAAGGGCACACGCAGATAGAAGACGGTCTGGTGGAAGAAGAGGTTAAGAATATAATCCCCGTTCAAAGAGAGGTGGCAGCAGAGGCCAGCAATGTATCCTATAAAGCCTTGAATAGTACTTTCGAGAACCAGAAAGAAGTCTCCAACTATTTGTTAAGTCCATCAAATGGTGATTTTTCATCCAGACACCTTGAAAGCATCTTGAAAGTGGATTCTGAAATTGGTCGTGGTTCCAATTCAAAATCGGAAACTGCAAATGGTGAAGCTGCGTCTGAGGAAATGGTAAGTCCCGATCATGATTTGGAGTATTTCTTCATCCATCGTGAATGCTCTGTTATTTTCACTATTTTACTAATGATCTAGAATTCTTTTGAAAGGCACCTGTCTTGTCATCAACAAAACTGGTAGAGGTCCATGTAGCTGTCTGCTTTCTATACGCTATGCTATTAGTGCTGTGTTAACAAACTGTTATATTTGCTATTTGAAAACCTTTTTCCTCATTCTGTTACAGGGTTTAGGAACCATTCAGATACTTGCAGATTCTTTGCCGAAGATTGTTCCGTATGTTCTGATAAACCATCGAGAGGTAGGGCTGCGTTTTTTCAATTTTTTACCAGTCAATACCGTTGATGGAATATTACTGATCGGATTTGCTTAACCGATAGGAACTCCTTCCTCTGATGATGTGTGCGATTGAGCGGCATCCAGTTAGCGGTACAAGAGACTCCTTGACCCATACACTATTCAACCTGATCAAACGTCCAGATGAGCAGCAGAGGCAGATTATTATGGACGTAGGTTACTGATTTAACGTAGAAGCTTTGTTTTTGCATAATTTAGACCGGTAAGGTTTTGAGCTTGGGGCCTTTTACTGTTTATCCCAGGCTTGTGTTAGCCTATCGAGGAATGTTGGGGAAATGAGAACAGAAACAGAATTACTTCCACAGTGCTGGGAACAGGTAATTGCTACTGTTGCCTTTACAAGTTGTCTGTCTCCGCTCTAAACAATTTGTGTTCTTTTCTTGATATGTGCGGTTACATGCTGGTTGTGTCTATATCAGATAAATCATACGTATGAAGAACGCAGGCTGTTAGTTGCTCAATCATGTGGGGAGCTTGCAGAGTATGTCCGCCCTGAGATACGCGACTCTCTTATTTTGTCAATCGTACAACAGCTTATAGAAGATTCAGCGACCGTTGTTCGGGAGGCTGCCGCTCATAATCTTGCGTTGTTGCTTCCTCTGTTTCCAAACACAGACAAATATTTCAAGGTTAGCTTCATCAATTTTGGTTCGTAGCAACTCTGGAAAAGAATTCTGACTTAGTATATGACTGACATGGCTGCAGAGTAATAACAGAATTTATATGAGAAGGGAGCATTTTAAGTTGACATAAAACAAAAAGCATAAAAGATCAGTTACTATTGATATAAAACGAAAAATGGTACAACACCAGTTTTTTGTTTGTTTATTAGGTTGAGGAGATGATGTTTCAGTTGATATGCGATCCATCTGGCCTGGTTGTTGAAACCACATTGAAAGAATTACTTCCTGCAGTGATAAAATGGGGTAACAGGCTGGATCATATCTTGAGGGTTCTTCTTTCTCACACATTGAGCTCTGCTCAGGTATAGATTTCATACAGCTCCCAATTTAAGACTGTGATTGAGCGTGGTTTTTTGCAATAGCCCTTTGAAGTCATTTTCATTTGCAGCACTGCCCACCCCTTTCTGGAGTTGAAGGGTCATTGGAGTCTCACCTACGAGTCCTAGGTGAACGGGAGCGATGGAACATTGATGTCCTACTAAGAATGCTCATGGAGTTGCTTCCAGATGTACACCAGAAGGCAATCGAAACATGCCCATTTTCTTCTATCTCAAAGTCAGAGGAATCTGCATTCTCGGTTTCCTTGCTTGAGACTTATGCCGAGTAAGCTTCTTCACCCACTCAACTCTTGACGACAAAAAGTTTTTCTAGTTTCTGATATCTTATTGTACGTAATCATACGACGTCTTATCTGACTAGAATTTGTGACCAGGGGACGTTCTGAGTGGCCTATGTTTGAATGGATGCATATTGATTGCTTTGCCAACTTGTTACAATTGGCATGCATGTTACCCCAGAAAGAAGACCATTTGAGAAATCGGATAACAAAGGTCTGGATTGTATTTTGCTCCTGTTCTCTTATCTGCTATTGATCCTAGGGTTATTAACACCAATATTATTTTAAACATCTCTGCACTGATTTGCAGTTTCTCTTGGCTGTGTCTGAACGTTTTGGAATTTCGTACCTAACCGACATTGAGTTACCTGTGTTCTTAGTGGCCGTTGGAGATGATGAGGCTGATCTTCGGTATTTACCTTCTGCAATCCATCCGAGGATAAAAGGTTACCTAATTGCTGAATTTATAACGGCACAGACATTTCTAAAACACGAGCTGACGAAGATTCTTGTTTCCTTTCTTCAGGCCTAAAACCAAGAACTGCTGTAGCTAATAGACTTGCCACTCTATGTATTCTACCGCTTCTTTTGGCAGGAGTTCTTGGTGCACCAAGTAAACGTGAAGAGTTAACAAACTTCTTACGACAACTCTTACTCGAGAGAAAAACAAAGGAAAACCAGTTATCAAAGCACAGTAACGAGGTTTTGGATGCGGTCCGCTTCCTCTGGTGCGTTTTCCTAAGCTACCATTGTTTATGTTTGTTTCCTGGAGCTGCTTCTTCTTACCAATGAACTCCTAAAACATTGCAGCACATTTGAAGAACACCATAACATGATATTCGGCATTTTGTGGGAAATGGTCGTCGATTCCACTGCAGAACTCAAAATCAACGCTGCTAAATTGTTGAAGACCATCGTAAGCTTCTCAACAGCATAAAATTTCTCTGTTTTTCCCAATATTGTCTTGATAGAGTTTTGTTATTAACTTGCGCAACAGGTTCCATACATTGACGCAAAGGTTGCCTCTGGCAATGTTTTACCTGCCTTGATCACTCTTGGGTCAGACCAAAACCTAAATGTGAAGTACGCAAGCATAGATGCATTTGGATCGGTAGCACAACATTTCAAAGTCGACATGGTGATGCACTAATGCATAATAAACCCTCGAATTATCTAAAGGTCTAATACTTATGCGCTAATTTAATTGGATATGATGCAGATTGTTGATAAAATCCTAGTCCAGATGGATGCTTTTCTCGAAGATGGTTCTCATGAAGCCATAATCGCAGTCATTCGTGCACTCATAGTTGCAATTCCACACACAACAGAACGGCTTCGAGATTATCTGTTGTCCAAGATATTCCAGCTTTCAGCAAGTCCAAGCTCTTCAACAGACGTAATCCGTCGCCGAGAGAGAGCTAACGCTTTCTGCGAAGCCATTCGCGCACTCGATGCAACCGGTAAGAGAATCAAAATCAAAACTTTCTTCTTCTTCTTACATGTTTCAATGTTCCACAATTAACTCGTCTTTGTTTGAAACATGTTTGTGAAGATCTGTCTCAAACAAGTGTCCGAGAATACCTCCTTCCAACAATTCAAAACCTATTGAAAGATCCAGAGGCGCTTGATCCAGCTCATAAGGAAGCTTTAGAGATCATATTGAAGGAGAGATCAGGTGGGACACTTGAAGCAATCGGCAAAGCCATGGGTGCTCACTTAGGGATTGCATCATCTGTAACGAGCCTCTTTGGAGAAGGTGGCTTATTAGGTAAGAAAGAAGCAACCGAAACCACCACGGTTGCACCTTCATCACCTACACTTCAGGGACCTGATTCACCGAAAGCGGTGGCTCCTGCGACTGAAGACACAAGATTCAGACGTATCATGAGAGGCAATTTCACTGAGATGCTTAGAAGTAAAGCCAAGAATCAAGATGAGACACCGCCACAAAATCACTAATCCAAATATAATCCAGATTATTTTATTTCTTTTAATATATTTCTATTTACATATATATACATATATTCTTAATACACGCAGAAATAAATTCACGTTCTTTGGTTTTTTGGCTTGCTGAATTTTGTTTCCATCTTCTCGTTTAACTATTGTTTTTACATAGGAAGAAGAGTGAGATTACATCCATCAAAAGAATTATGATTTTTTAATAGCTAGAGCGTGGGCAATTTTGTTCTATCCCTTGCCCCTTCGTGAACTGTCTATATAGAGTATAAATAGTATTTACTTTTGTACCGAATGCAGTTTCTTATTCTCTCGGATTGTGAAGCATATGAATAAAAAACATAGTGATTTGAATTTTCAATGCGAATTCTTGAAATTATTTGGGCGTCCAATATATATTTCAAACGTTTTTTTATGGTTTTTCTTTTGTTCAAGCATTTTCGATAAGACTTGAGGAAGAATGTACTGGGATTAGACGAGTAAATAACATTTGGACCGCATATTCTGATACACTTGCTAAAATCGCCAAGTGTGACGAGAAACAAAAAGCACACTGAAAGCGCGTGATGACAAAATCGCTAGATTGTAGACCACATAATTTGGGCTTTTTCGTGTATATATAATAATAATTTGAGTGGGCCTCACACGCGTGCTTAGGCTTTCGGTTGCTTAAATCCGTTAAATGACAAATTGAGAGAGGGCCTCGTGGGCGTGGTTTAGAACTTAGAATAGACGTTTCGGTTACAAAGGATCTCAAAATTAAACTTCTATCCGATATACTGTTAAAATTAATTGGACTAATCCGATGGATATCAAATATTTTTAATATTAAGAGTCGCACAAATATAATATCGGAAATCAACTATAGCAAGTAGCGACTAATTACTTGAAATTTTTTCTTCACAAACGAAAATTCTCCGGATTACAAAATAACATAATTTTAAATGTAGATGTATAAAGAGATTGGATAAATTAATGAGTTCGGTAAGAGTTTACCAAATATAGTTAAATCTGTAAGTCTATCCCTATACATTATTTTAAAAATGCATTTATATAAATACTTCGCCGTTACTAAGTTGCTAACTTATCGCATTTCCTATAATTGTCACAGAGAAGTTAAAAAAAAAAAAAAAAGTAAAGGGAAGAAGAACGATCGGGCGGCAAATTCGCGATCGTCTCGATCCACCGTTGGATCTCACGATGTCACTCTCCGGCCTACACAACAAATTCAAGCTTTTCGCGGCAAACCGTAGCTTGGATAAATCCGCCGCTTGTAAACCCTCAACGAGTCCGACGAAGAGCCCTGTATTCAATCTCCGGCGACGCAAAACCCTGCGGATGTTGTTCGAAAAGAGCTCCGACTGTCGCAGACGCAATCTCCGTCAGATCCTCGAGGAATCGCCGGAATCGGATTGTAATTCCGGGAAAAAGAAGAGGGTAAACAATCGTGCTAGGCGTAAATTGAAAGAGCTGTTGGTCACATCGCCATCGCCGCCGTTCAAAGGTAGAGAAGAGATAGACGACAGTGGAGAAGTGAGGAGCAGGATTTCGCCGTTAAACGTCGGCTCCGTTACTTCTAACGGTGACGGGAGGGGATTAACGGCTCGGCGATTCGGTTCCTCCGGTTCGGTTCAATCATTTCGATTCAGGATTTTGAGAAAACCGTGGCGACCTGTCCTGCTTTCTATTCCTGAACAATAAAGTGATAAACCTTTCCTTTTTTGTTCTTTTTCTCTGTTTTATTTTCTTTTTAGTTAAAGACTCTGTTTGATTTTCTTACAAAGATATCAAACATTTATGACATCTACGACCAAAAAGAAAAGGAGATCTTACAGGTTTAAATTGTCATATTTGATTATTTTCCATGTCCGTTTTTTGATTCTTACTGCGAATATAAATAATATTTCCTCTCTATGATTTAATTATCTTAATTAGAGTTTATGAATATTATTATCAAAACAAAACAAATGTTCGAGTTTAAATCATTAGATCTGATCTAGTCATCTAGTGAATATTTGAATAGAACAAGACAAACTTACCACATGGGGTAAACCATATTATAGTATTTTTCTTGGCGTGTAACATATAATTTATAAAGGGGTTTTGAAATTTTCTCAACGGCTCTGTAAAGCCAATATGAAGAAAAATGATTTGGGATTTAGTCTGTGGAGGGCAAAATGATAAAATAGGTGGGTATGAGGAGGAGACACACAGTTGCTTCTTCTTAAAGTTTGTCTATTTCTTTTCTTCCGTCAAGTAATAGTTTTTAGACTTCGTCTATCTAGTAGTTGTCCAATGAAATCGAATATTAAAAAATTGGTTTTGTCTGTTAGCTTTTGAAGACACAATATGAATAAGTACTTTATTACAAAACATTAACACGAAATGGTCATATTTTAAAATTTTAAGTTGCGACTTTCTTGAAGTTATAGATATCAAAAATGAATCTATGAGGAAATATACCACATTGAGAAATATATTCTTGAAATGATTAATCATCTGTAACCAACTCCCCATCGTAGTATTTTGTTTCTGTGTTTCGGTTGGGTCCTTGATTGCCTGATTGGGGGAGTTTTGTATCATATTTATTTAGATTGTTCAATTCAGCTTCCCGTTTCTTAATAGACCCAATCCAATAGCCCATGTATTAATGGGCCTTAATTATCTTGATGCATACACAGGTCAGCTCGGCTCGGTTAAACACTACTCGCTATAAACCGATTCGGTAGAGCGCGTGGACTACACTGCACCTAACTATACGACTCGTGTTAAGTAGTTGACATTTGCGCCTCCTTGCTTATGAAAGGGACAAAAGTCTAGTCTGACATATATATCTATATATTTTTTTTTGTGGTTGTGCAAAGACACATTCCAGATCTGACTCTTCATTTCTTGCTTTCCCTTGATTAATATTACAGGCCAATTCCATTTGCGTTTGTCGTCAATATTATTGGACAGTGGACACTGTATTTGTATAAAGGATACATTGATACATATATGTATATATATGTGTAGAGGGAATAAGTTACTACCCTCATCTTGGAATACTATTTTTCAAATAGCTTTTGATTATAAAAATGGAACATAGAAGTACGTACTTATTTCTTGCGTAGTTGTTGCTGTTACATTTCATGTATTAATTTATTTACAATTTTAAAAATCCAAATTTAGCACTAACAATTTTATAACAACTAAAACATTCAATGCAATACGCACACCATTTGAAAGATAATTACTAAACTCAGAGATTGAATTAAGAGGAATTAAACTTGTATTATTGATTAATCAATGAATGAATGTACATAGAAAGTATGTAGAGTATTTAGCTATTCAAATGTAAGCTACACAAGAGAACAGTATATACAACTAATAATACTTTTTCAAATCAGTCAGTCACTGAACTTTTGTTTGAGGCATTAAATAGTAAAACCATGTTTTCGTTCATAAATATTACTCTATCTTACGTACGAGGTGTTTGGTTAAAAGTCGGGAGAGACGTCTTCTCCGCAACTAGGAAAGACTACATACAGTTGCCATTAAATTTCAGAGACAGATCATTAACTGTTGCTGTTCTCTAAATTACAGTGTTGTTTAATTAGTACTACTAGTTATTTTATAGTGTGGTTGTTTCTCGAGATTATGTTTACCACTACTTATAAGAGTTGGATTACTATAATTTTGTCGCTTCCCTACGCGTTAATGGAATGTATTTATCTTCAACTGTATCAAACTAGCACGTGAAAAGTCTGAATAAAAATAGCGAGACTGAGTGAAAATTTGTTTGGTCCTTTTCAAATCTTGTTGTTCCCACTAGCTAGCTAATGATAATGTTTAAGATCTGGTCCACATATATCGGGAAAACGACGACGAATCAATATAAAAACAGAATTTCCTAAACGAAAGATAAAGTACTTTAATTCAACCAGCCAAAAAAATAAAGAGATAGAGAGAATCTCTCTCAAGTCAGTCACTTAACTCCTCTTCCAAAAAAAAAAAACCATTTCCAATTCCACTCCTCTTCCTACATAACTCTATCTCACTTCCATATTTTGATTCCGATCGAGAAGAATACATTCTTTTTAATGAATACATATATTTCTTTTGCGACAAGTTCCATGGAAGGAGTTATAAAGATATAGCTGCGACTTTCGAAAAGCTTCAAGCATAGAAAACAATGGTGGGAAGAGTATATATCCGCATGGAAACTATGTGGTTAAGACAAATGAGGAGTCTAATTATAGTTCCAATGTTCAAATGTTTGGTGGCTATATGTTTGGTCATCTCCTTGTTAGTTTTCGTTGAAAGTGCTTATATGAACATTGTGGTAATCTACGTCAAGTTGTTTAAACGCAAACCCGAAAAGTTTTACAAATGGGAGGCAATGCAAGAGGACATAGAGCTGGGAGATCAAAACCATCCCATGGTTCTTGTCCAAATCCCAATGTACAATGAACGAGAGGTATATATATATAATACTAGTTTAATTTTTCTATGAATTGATGAATTATTCAATTATGATGATGCATCCTTTAAACTTCTATTTTTATTTTGAATCCACACAGGTTTTTCAATTATCCATAGGTGCAGCTTGCAGACTCATATGGCCAGTGGATCGACTAATCGTTCAAGTTTTAGATGATTCCACTGATCCCACCATCATGGTGCATATACTTTATTGATAACACATGCTAATTATTACTTATTAAAATTTGTTCACATATTACAACTAAATAAACATTTTACTTTTTTAATTAATAATTAATATTAAATTTAGATGCGAAAGACAATAAAAACAAATATATTTTTTGTATCCGTTTGGTCACGGTTAATTTTCAAATAATTTTCTTGTAATAAACATTGTGTTTTTTCTTGTAACCACAATGACTTAATGATTAACATCAAGCGGTTTATTAATTGCAGGAAATGGTGAGCTTGGAGTGTGGAAAGTGGGCAAGCAAAGGCATAAACATAAAATGTGAGAGGAGAGACAATAGAAATGGGTACAAAGCTGGAGCTCTTAAACAAGGCATGAGGCATAGCTACGTCAAACAATGCAACTACATTGCCATCTTCGATGCCGATTTCCAGCCAGAGCCCGATTACCTCCAACGTGCGGTCCCATTTCTCGTCCACAATCCCGAGCTCGCTCTTGTTCAAGCTCGATGGAAATTTGGTATAGAAACAACAATATGGCGCTTTGAAGCGCGTAGTAATTAATGTCTATGTTTCTCAGAAATCTCAACTTCTAAAGAATATTAATTTAATATCAACTAGCTTTGAGATAAAATATATGTATGGTTGTTGGAATGATTCACTGATTGGTGCAGTGAACGCAAACAAGTGCTTGATGACTAGGATGCAGGAGATGTCACTCAATTACCATTTCATGGCAGAGCAAGAATCCGGATCCACTAGACATGCCTTCTTTGGCTTCAATGGTACATCCTTATCACCATCTATTTAAATAATTTATCTTGTGAGTTGTGGTCGAAAAAAACTTCGATAATATTTTGATTTCTTAGATTCTCTAATTTTATACTCATGTATATTCTTTTGTAACTATATTCTATATACTATGTAGTTGTATTGTTTTCTAACTAATAATCGTTAAAACAAACAATGTACACTAATTTTTGTATTTATTTGTTGAATAAATTAAGTTAATCATATTTTAAAATATGACAAATCTTGCATTTTAACCAAAAACTAAATTGAGAAATCTATTATTATATTCCAAATCTTGAGTTATTTCAATATGGGAACTAGACAGTATATATTGGAGTTTTGCAGGGACAGCTGGTGTATGGAGATTGGCAGCGATGGAAGAAGCCGGAGGTTGGAAAGACCGAACCACCGTTGAGGACATGGACTTGGCCGTTCGTGTCGGTTTACACGGTTGGAAATTTGTCTTCGTCAACGACATTGCGGTACTTTCAATTTTCTTGGACTCATATACATTTAATTAATGAATTAATGTGTCCAAACCTATATTTTGTTATTTAAATGAAGAAATCTTGACTCATATATAGGCAGTCCAAATCTTAATTAATATTTTCGTGTCACATGTGTCGTTGCTTTGCACACACTTTATGGAAAGTTGAACATGATAAAATATTCCATGTGCGATGATATATAATTAATGAGAAATAATATGTAAGCTCTTTTTATTATTCTACTCGATTCATATACGTAATAAAATAAAAATTGTTGTTGTAGGTGAAGAGTGAGCTACCAAGCCAATTTAAGGCTTTCAGATTCCAGCAACATCGATGGTCTTGCGGTCCAGCTAATCTCTTCAGAAAAATGACTTTGGTGAAACCTTAAAAGCTTTACTTTTATCCGTTCTCTTTATTTACCTTAACTTATTTCATTTTCAGATAAACACGTGCCCGAAAAAAATTATCAAACGTG